GGTTAGGACCAACAATGGCATGTCATTATGTTACCAGTAATATGTTAAAATTTTGTTGTTGTTGTTATTTACTTGTTGTTTGTTTTTTATTGTCAATAATCCTTATAAGTTAAGGAAGCTCCCTTCTATTCTTAGGTTTATCAGAAAATGTGTTGAATGTTATCAGATGCTTTTACTGCATCAGTTGAGGTGATTATGTAATTTTCTTCTTTTCTATTAGTTCTGTGAATTACACTGATTGATTTCAAAATGATATGCCAACAGTACATTCTTGGAATAAATCCCACTTGCTCATGATCCTTTTTATATATCGTTGAATTCAATTTGCTGATGTTGATGAGAGACTTCTTTTCCTCTTACGCCCTTGTCAAGTTTTAGTATAAAGGTTATACTGGCTGCATAAAACCAGATGGGAAGTATTCCTTCATTTCTATCTAATTACAGAGTTTATGGTTAATGTTATTTCTTCCTTAAATGTTTGGAAGTATTTATCAGTGAAGTCATCTGGGCCTGGAATCTTTTTTGTGGGAATATTTTTCATCACAGACTAAATTTCTGGTATACATACAGGACTATTCAGATTTTTAATTTCTCTGTCAGTCTTGGTAAGTTGTATCAATTTAATTTAAAATATCAGCATTTATTAAATAAAATGTTTTATAATGTACTTTTATTATCTTTTAATGTTTGTTAGATCTCTAGTGTTGCTCCTTTTTTAATCGTGATACTGATAATTTGGGAGTCTGGTTTTTTCTTGATCAGACTTGCTAGTGTTTATCAGTTTTGATAATTTTATTAAACAGTAAGCTTTTGATTTTATTGATTTTTGCTGTTCTATTTTTGCTTTTTATATCATTAATTTGTTTTACTATTTTTTTCCTCTTTATGTTTTGGTTTTAATTTGTGCCTCTTTTTCTATCTTCTCGAGATAAAAGCCTAGGTAATTAATTTTCATCCTTCTTTTCTATTTTATGCACTTAAAGTTATGCATTTTCTTATTCTCATTGCATTAGGTACCTCTAATACGTATTGTTGTGTCATATTTTCATTATTGTTTAGTAAAGATGGGAATTTTTAAATATGTATTTTCCTTAATTTCCAAACATTTGCAAATGTTTGTTTATCTTTTTGTTATTGATTTCTAGTTTAACTCTTCTGTTAAGTATTTTGGAGAATATACTCTGCATGATTTTTCTGTCCTTGCAATTTTAAAAATGCTTCTATTCTTATGAAATTTTTTCCTTTTTGTCTCTAGTAATATTTACCTTACTTTTAAACTCTATTTGGTCTTATATTGATATAAATAAATTGGGAGTTTGAGACTTGCAGATACTAACTACTATATATAAAATAGATAAACAACAAATTTATACCAAATGTTAATCATTTTTATTTTCAACTCTTCATATGTTAATATCAATATCTGAATCATCTGTTTCTGTTGTGTACTTTTTTCTCTTGGCTATCAGTAAATTTATTTTGTTTTATAACACACTTTGAATACAATCACTTGGTCCTATTTTATATTATGCTTATAATCTTTTATTGAATTAAGTTTAAAATGATAATAGCCCAATTTTATGGGCAGAGAATTGAATAGCCATGTCTTCAAGGAAGATATATAAGTGGCCAGTAAGCACATGAAGAAGCTGCTCAGTATCATTGGTTATTAGGGAAATGCAAGTCAAAGCCACAGTGAGTTATCACTTTACACTCACTAGATGGCCATAATCAAAACATGGACAAGAACAAGGTTATTGGCAAGGATATAACGTCATTGGACCCTAATACGTTGTTTGTGAAAATATAAAATGGTATAGCCACTTTGGAAAACATTTTGCAGTTCCTCAAAAAGTTAAACAGCATTTTCATGTGACCCAGCAATTCTACTCCTAGATATATACCTAAGAGATTTGAAAACATGTCCACACAAAACCTATACCTGAATGTTCATAGCAGCGTTCTTCATAATCACCAAAAAGTGAAAACAAGCCAGATGCCCATCAACTGATGAATAGATTTTTAAAAAATGATAGGCCTATACATTGAAATATTATTCAGCCATAAAAAGGAGGGGTGTGCTGATACATGCTACAGCATGTATGCACCTTGGAAACATTAGGCTTGGTAAAAGAAGCCAATCTAAAAACACCACATATTGTATGATTCCATTTATAAGAAATGTCTGGAATAAGCATATAGAGACATGGTTGCAAGGAGCTAGAAGGAAGGAGGCGATAGGTGACTGCTAATGCATATGGGGTTTCTTTTTGAGATGATGAAAATGTTCTGGAGTTAACTAATGGTGATGGATATGCTAAAACCCTCTGGATGCACTAACAACCACTGAACTGTGTCATTTGAAAGACTGAATTATACAATATGTGAATTTTATCTCAATTTTTTAAAAAGGCATTCTCCAAGGTTATAGAAAATATCGTAGGAGTTCTAAATAATGTTGCATTTGTCCTATGAAAACTAGTGTTTTTATTTTGTTTTGTTTTTCCTCAGTCAAGTAGATAGCCTCTGAGCAACTTACTTTAATCCTGTCAAGGGTTGGTCAGATTCTTTGTTAAGGCTGATCAGTTTCAGTTTTTGCCTTTTCTCCCTGTGGTAACCCTATTGTAGTCACAACCAACATGGCTAGCCTTGGAGGGTCTTGAAGTCCAATCCCTGTCCCCCTCACTTTGTATGGTGTTCTGTGGTTGCTAACATCTCTGCTTAGGTTTCTTGCTTTTTTATCTGTGTTTTCTGCTGGGACTGTCAGAGTCTCACTCTGCTCAGATAGCAATTTAGCAGTTGGCCAGCACTTCACCACGAGATTGCACACAGACTTGTAGTTCCTTCCTATCTACAGTTTGACTGCCACATGCCATCTACTTTGACAGCTGCAAATTCCAGCCTCTGTCCTGGTCATGTGAGACTGCCACTTTCTGCTAAGATTCTTATTTTCCTGTACTGTGAATTGACCAGTATTCTTGGAGAAAAGGCAAAGTGAATGTGGAGCTCACCTTATGTTCTTCCTTCTCTCATAGCTCCTTGCCCCTCAGATCCTGCCTATAGTGCTGCCTACTGCTTTTAAACAGCCATTTTGCTTATTTTATCCAGATTTTGTTACTGTTGTATTGTTTTCACCAAGAAGGTTAATCTGGTGTAAGCTACTCTGCCAAAACTGGCATTGAAGTCTTCCTCTTGCCTTCTTTACCTCAGTGTTCAGTCATCTCTCTATTTCCCTCTCCTCTTCCCCTCTCTTACCTGTAGTCTTTCCTCACCTTTAGCCTCTCTCCCTATGGGATTGTTACCATTGGCGCTCAAACATGTGACTGTGTTTCTGTGTTTTTTTTAAAAAAAATGCTAAATACCACATTCCTCCTATTACTTTATGACAGTGGTTCTCAACTGAGGGCAATTTTGCATCCTAGGGGACATTTGTCAATGTCTGAGACATTTGAGTTAGTCACAACTAGGGAAGGAGTCCTGTTGGCATCTGGAGGCTAGGGATGCTACTGAAATCCTACAGTGGAAAAGATAGCTACTTAAAATGCAGAACTGTCTGGCCCCAAATGTCAATACTGTTAAGGCTAAAAAACTTGTCTACTGTTTAGCTTGCCTTAGTGGCCAAACTTTTCCAAAGAATTGACTGTACGTGTTGTCTCCATTTCCACATCTCTCTTTCATACTTTCATCAATGCTTTTATTTTTTTCTTTTTAGATAATAAAATACTCAGGTGTTTTTCAAGTAAAATAGTGCTACAAAGCTTGTAAAGAAAACAGCAGTGTTCTCCCAGGACCCCTTGTATTTAATTGTTTAGTTTTGGCTGGTTAGGTATAAATGGAACAAAGGTGTTTTTTTCTTGGATAAGAAGACAAAAAAAATTAGTCAGGAATAAACTTGATACTTGTTCTTTCTCTGTCAACATCTGTCTACCTATCTATGTTAGAAAATAAATCCCTTGCTTAAGCTATTTTTATTCTAGTTTTCTCTTATTTGCAGTAGAATATAATTCACGCTAAGATAGGACTTATTTTTCCAAGACTTTTCATGTATGAAATTTCCTTTGAATTCTAGAGCTCTAGTCTCATACATGTCCAATTGAGTGTCTCACTAATATTTTAATTTTAACATGAACAAAATGGGACCTTTCATTTCCTAGCCCAAATGTGAGTATGAATAGAACCATGTGGATAGAATTCCATGTACCCAGTTTCTCAGTCCAGAAACCTGAGGGTCATCCTATCCCTTGCTATTTATTCTGCTTCTGAAGTTTGTCAAATCTGTCCATTTTTGTCCCTTTCTATTGCCATTATTATAGTTGGTCCAGCCTAATTGCCCTAGCATTTCTATTCCTGCCCCCATTCTAGTCCTTTCTCTGCATAGTAGTGAGAGTGATCTTAAGTTGTAAATCGGATTGTGTTACTCTCCTGCTTAAGATCCTTCAGTGGCTTCCCATTACTCTTAGAACAAAATGCAAAATTCTACAAGACTTGAATAACCTTGCCTATCTCTCTAGTCTCATTTTATGTCCTTCAGACAGTGCTCCAGCCTTCTTTTACCTCCTTAAGCACATGCATGGTGTTTTGTCTGCCCATAATGTTCTTTCCACTGTTTCCATAGTTATTTTATCTTTCAGAACCCAACTTCAATGGTGTTTCCTCAGAGAAATCTTTTCTGATTCATCCTAAAGTAATATGTTCCACCCATCATTCCTTATCACTTTAGTGTATTTTTTCTTTATGGAAATCATTGAATATACTTAAATGTTTATTTGTCTACTGTGTGTGTGTGTGACATCTGCCCCAGTAAACTATAAACTCTGTCATGCTCACTCCTGTAGTTTCAGGGCTGAATCCAGTATCTGGCATTTAGTAGAAGCTCAATAAATATTCGTTGAATGATTGAATGATTGAATGACTATGAGGATACCTGTTTCCCCCCAAGTGTTTCTGTTTAAAAATTCTATAATCAAGTTGAAAAAATAGTATTATGCCCATTCATATACACTTCATCTGGAGTTACAGTGAACATTTTGCCACATTAGCTTTGTCTATTCCTATATATATGTACATATTTGTGTATATGTGTGTATATGTATATGTATGTGTATAAATTTCTCTGTCTACATCTGTCTACCTGTCTATATTATTAGTAGTAGAAGTAAACCATGTGAAGGAAAGTTGCAAACATGACATTCATGTCTAAATCAGTGTTTTTCTCCTATGAACAAGATCTTTCTCCTGCATAGCCGTGATATTGTTAAGAAATCTAACATTGAAATGGTGATGTGTTTTGATTTGTGGGCCATGTTCCAATCTCCCCAGTTATCCCCATAGTATCTTTTATTGCTTTTTTTTCCTTTTGCTCCAGGGTGCAATTAAGGATTTCATGTTGTATTTGGTTGTCATGTCCTTGTATTTTTTAATAAGTTAAAATAGTACTCTTGTTACTTTTTTCTTTCATTAAATTTATATATTTTTAAGTGTCCAAGTTGTAGAATGTCCACCACGGATATATGGAATGGATGTGTCTGATTGTTCATAATTAGGTTTAGGTTGCACATTTTTGGCACAAATAGTACACAGATGATGATGTACTTGTCATTGCATCATGTCAGCAAGCTACATTGTATCATTTTGTACCATTATTTATGCAGCTAAATTTCATCACTTAGTTAAGATAATATTTACCAGATCTCTCCATGTAAAGGTATTTTGTTCTCTTTGTAAAGAATAAATTATTCACTTTAATACTTTGCACATATACTGTGTACCGACAACCTTTCGCCCAGTAATTTTTAACGTCTATCAGTGGCCCTTGCTTGAATCAATTATTACATTGGTGGTAATGTTATTATTCCCTCTATATTTATTAGCTGTCATTTTTTAATGAAGAACTTTCTCTGTCCCCAACACATTCTTCTTTTTAAAAAAAACATTATTATTATCTCAATAGATTTTATTTTTAATCTAATGTACTATTTATTACTATTATTACTTTTTTTAAAATCCCACATTCGGCCAGTGGGAGAGCCCTCAAAATGGTTCCAATGTCTCCATTATACTTTGAACACATACAAGCTTTGTGGTACAGCAAGACTGTTTAGCCCTAAATTATTTTTCTTAGTAGGGAATGGTATTTGGAAACCAAAAATTTGAGGGCTAAGTGTGCATATTACTACTGTAGTATCATTGCTTCTTTTAGTGGTCTTTTCAGTGGTCTTTTCAGAGCTAGGATGATATTTTATATAGGTAGACAGGCAGATAGACCAACCTGCACATATTTACTTGAATGAATTTGTTTTGATACCTCCAACTCATTCTTAACCTCCCATTCTATATCTCTAGCTTCTTTTTCTCACACTGAGAATCCTGGTATCAACAATTTAATATATTTACTCATTTGTACTACCCAAAATACACATAAAATGCTACAACCAATAACAAAACTGCTAAGAAAAGTTTGATTCATTTGCAAAATATTTTTGTCCTTATAATTATCTTGTGTTTAAAAATACTTGAAATAATTTTTTTTTTTGGTATATGGTAGTATTAGCAACTTCATTATACATATTGGCTCATTTTCCTTGTTTATTTTCAATTTTAGTATTTTCTTTTTATAGTTTTTGTTTACTTCTATTTTTGAGTATGTGAAACATTTGGCTCAGAACAATATACAGAGGTATGCTCAGATGTCTCATTCCTATCCCTATTCTTTCCATACCGTTCCCACCCATTCCCCTTATTAATGTAATAATTTTCATTATTTTTCTGGTTTATTTTTCCTTCTTATCTCTGGAAAAATACCCCTTTTTCTTCTTTCAGAAATAGTCACTTGCTATATATACTCTTTTGTACTTTGTTTTTTTTTTTTTTTTTTTTAAACAAAGCAGTTTATCCTGGAAATCATTTCCTATCAGCTCATAGAACTCTTCCTCAATTTTTTTCAGGTGTATGGAACTCCTCTGTGTGGATGTACCATAATTTAGGTCAGCTTGTTTCCTTTGCATTTTGCTTGTTTCTAATTTTGCTATTTTAGATAATGCTAATATAAAGACTCTTGTATGCACAGTGTTTGAATCTTGGAGCTATATTTTGGGGGTGAATTTCTAAAAGTGGGATGGTTGGGTCAGGGAATAAAATATATAGTCAGTTCTGATAGCCAGATTACCCTCCTTAGGAGTTGTACTATTTTTGCACACCCATCAGCAATTTTACAAGATACCTGTTTATGAGAATTTCTATATTAACATCAAATATTGTAAACTTATACATGGTAAGAGTTGTTCTTTTTGTAAGTTCTGTATTGTATCATCAGGGTCCCTATGGAAGATAGCTGACACACTGAAATTAGGATAATTCAAGGAAGGTTTATTTACAGGAACTAATCACAAAATTATGTGCAGGACATAGGGATTCACCAGGGATAAACAGGAACCAGCATCAGTGGAGCTGTTGTCACTTCTAGGCCTGAAGGGACCAAGGGAAGAAGAGGATACAGGAATCTATAGGAAGGAAGATTTCTGTATAGCAGACTGCTTTGGTGATTCAGTGACCTTTGGTCCAAAGAGAAAGCCAGCTTGATCTTCCTCTATAGGGAAGGAGCCAGGAAAACACATAACCCTTCCTTCCTCTGACTTCTTGCTGGCATTCAGGCAAAGGGTATGAGATTGCTTGGATGTAGTTCGTATAGGCCAGTTTTCAAGTACAGAGATCAGTATGAAGAAAGGTGGAGAGTGAATCTGGAGGCGCAGACAAGATATCGGGCACATGTATGCACATGTAGAGTCATGAACCCTTTGAAATCACTGTAAACCAGAGGTTGGAAACCTCTGTCTAAATTCCTGTTGCTAGTAGAGCTACTGAGTGCTAGCAGTGTGTCTTATATGAATGTTACTTTCTACTCTGAGATTTCTCTTTAGAAAAATCCATCAGCTCTTATTATCAATTTCAGTATTTCTCAACAGTGCTCCTCATTGCACTTTTAACATATAAAGCCAAGTAGTCCTGATCCTCTGATTCCTCTATAAAGAGCTCCATAGCTCTCTTTTTACCTGAAGAGACTAAGATCCAAAATAATCTTATACACTTCAGACTCTATTCCGTTGCTGGTATCTTTAGAGAAGAAACAGCATCTCTTCTTTCTTCTGATCACTCATCTCGTTTATTATTTTATGAGACAGTTTCATCACAAACATTGTATTTGGAGTTGGGCATTGTCTGAGTAATAAAAAATGGCTCTGTGGCCCCAATTACTTCTGAATGGGAATTAATTACAAGGCTTCTCAGTGAAACAGAACCGTTGTACAGCTATAGCATCTTTGTATTTTTGAGTATTATTTTAGCCAAATGGATTCTATTGCATAATACAAATTAAATTTTGGTAGATTGCTAATAATTTACCCTCTAACTTCACCTTGTATCTGTATTGACAGTATCTTGCTGTTAAGTGCCATGTTTCTTCTTGTTTCATAATATATCCCCTCACTGAAATCAGATAAGCTTCTTTTTATTTTAGTTTTAAAATGTAACATTCACTTCACACCTTTTCAAGATTTATTCTCATAGATCACATTTTCAGAGCTAAGCTTTAGGACTCACTTCCACTTTTTCCTCTAATTTTATGTTTGGAGCAAAGTAGTATTTACACAACCTGGTTAACTTCATACATAATATTTATTCTATTGTTTTCTTACTCTTTTTAAGAATCTTTTTGAAAAATAGGACTCCAGTAATGAAGTGTTTTTAAATATTACTTTTAATTAACGTGTTGAATTCTAAAAACAATAGTTTTTAAAGTGTACCAGTTATAAGTGTAAGCCCGATTCCAAAGAGGGGAAGAGTTATTTTTCATATTACCTGCAAGATTTAATGAGAGCACTTTTTAGCAAGTTGCTGACAATTTCTTCAGTGAGAATGGCATTAACATGTCTCTTCATTAACCAGAAATCTCAGTGGTCTTCTGATCATCATTTTGAACCTTGTGATCACTTTATCATACTAAAGATGTGGAAGATATAGGAGATTTGGGTTCAGTATTTATTTGTTAATTCAGTCAGACAAGCCTTCTTTGATAGGCCCTGAGGATTCAAAGATCAATACTGCACAGTTGCTGCCCACGGCCGTATAAGCTAATATAGTATGTAATAAGGGAAAAGATGTAAACAGTGTAGTGTGGTAAGTATTACAATCAGTGTATGCTTAAGGTAGGTGAGTGATACAAAGCATAAATAACATTTCTTGGGATGGTGCCAGGGAAGACTTGTTAGGGGAGAAGACATAGTAAATGTTTAATAGGTGAATGAACACTAATAAGTAATAAAAGATATAGTCTTATGCTGCTGGCTCTAAAATTCTATTATTTTATTTAAAGATATATTAGCGAGAAACTTAGACACTTGAAAATGCAACTGACATTATAAGTACACTCTGATTGCCAAGCGAATATATAGTAACTAGGATTTGTTGAAACACTCTGCTTCACAGACTTCACATCTGAGCACAGTAATCCTAACTCTCTGAGAGAGGTACTGATATTAAGGCCATTTTACAGATAAAGACACTGAGACTTACAGAGGTAAAATAACCTCCTGAAGGTCACACAGCTGCGGTGTAGCAGAGCTAGGATACCTACTCAGACACATCAGCTTTAGAAACAGTGTTCTTAATTATTAAAAAATGAACATTAAGAACCGTAGAAACCCAGAGAAGAAGGAAAGTTTTGCCTATTGAAAGCACTTGGAGAAGAGTTACAAATTGAATAGATGATAGTACCATGAAGAATGTATTAGCCATGAGTGTTGGCATAAATAAGTGTTCACTGGGCAAAGTTTACTCTAAACTAGAGCAATATGATTGAGTAGTCAGTTCATGTACGTGCATCAGGGAAGATCAGATTAGAAGCGGAGGACGGGATGGGAGCCATCTGTCAAGAATCCTGAAAATTAGTCTAAATAATCTGTACTTGATCTAATAGAAAGCCATTGAGGTTGTGGGAAGAAGGGAGTAATATGGGAGTCAGTGTAATGCAATGGTTACGTTCTGTGAGATACTATTATTTACATTTTATTAAGGCCCAGATAGGTTAAGTAATTCATTGAAGATCACACAAATTAATAAGAGAAGCAGGTTAGAACTTGCATTTTCATACAGCTATTCTAGTGCTTTCTACTTTATATCATGTTACGTTGTGGCCAGAACTGATGCAGTACAGCAGGCAGCAGTATGAAAAACTATTATTATTACTTGAAAGAGTTAATATCTTTTCTTAGGTATATCTTTTCATGGCCTTCCAACCAAGAAATAACCAAGGCATGAAAAAAGACAGACAAGTTCAGAATCTACTAGTTATCTAACTAATATACAAACGCAGTGATATTTGAATATAATCTCTGTTTAGTAAGTCAAAATATTAAGGGGCTATAATTTACCATTCAAAATACCTTGAGCAGAAATGAAAATAAGCTCTTGCTTTTCTGCACCAAACTGTGTTAGGCATTTAGTACACTCTGGGTGATAAGTATTTTATAGTAGAACTATTTCTTAAGTGTTTTCAAATAGTATTGATCATGAAACTTTTTGAAATTTACCATCAGGCCAATGGTAGCAGAGTGCACACAGAACTATGCTCCGTGGTGTTCTGGGGAAAATCTTTCGGCTTGTTGGCTATACTGTTCAGTATGGCTGTATAGCTCATTGTGCTTTTGAATACGTTGGTGGTGTTGTCATGGTAAGTTTTTACATTCAAGAAAATAATCATTTTAAACATATTTTTTTGTTTTAAATTGAAGGACAATGTGTTTTTCCCTTTATTATAATTGAAGTTATTAATGAATAAAACATGGCTGTTAAAATCTTTCTAAATTTTGCGATCTAAGAGAGTGTTTGAATTGGCGCTAATATAGGAACCATTACTTTAAATATAATCCTGTATTGTTTCTGTCAGGGACACAGAAAGCTCTATTAACCTAATAAAATAATTTTTACCATTTATTGAATGCTACTTACTGTGTTCCAGGATGGTTTTGATGTTTTACATTTATTAACTGATTTAATCTTTTCTGCTCTATGAGCTACTTACTAGAAATCCATTATACATATCAGGAAGCAGAGGCCCAGAAAGCTCAAGTAACTTTCTCCAGGTCCCATCATTCTAAACAGACTTGAAATTTCAACAAAGATTTCTCTGATTTTTAAAACTCCTACTCTTAACCTTCATTAAGAGTGTCAATAACTGTCATTAAAACAAATGATTGTTCTGCCTTAATGTCAACATTAAAATGTTGTCTGTCCCTCTGCCAATGCTTTTTCTTAATATTGCACCATAAATCTATCAGCCGTGGTGGTACTAACCTTCTGTCCTACAAATGAGAGAATAAATTGATTGTCCAGTAAGTGGGTTTTGATGTTGGTGTTGCTATTTTCATCAGGTTTACCCTAACAGATTCACAGTCATAACCTCAAGTTGAGCTGGATATATGCAAATAAATATATTTAACTGAAACTCCCCTCTTTTTTTTTTTTAAATTTACATTGGTATTTCTAGTGGGCTACAGAGATAGCAAAAGACTTTCACTGTGGTCTTTTCTGCCTGAGTAGGAAGTTTTGTGTAAAAAGTTATTTAGACGTAAGTGGACTAATTGGAGACTGCTGTATTTAGATTTTTTAAGTTGCAATGATCATTTTTACAGTTCTGAGATATATATGAAGATTGTTATTTAAGACCTACTAATATGAAAAGTCTTTAAAGTTCATCTCGTTGGAAGAGAAGGAAAGGCATCAACTCATTGAGAATAGTATGATACCACTTGGTGAATTACCATCATGTACCAGGTGATATTTGACAATAGCAAGAAAATAAATAGATCATTTATTGAGTATCAACTTTATGCCAAGCACTGTCGACCTTGGTTATACAACTGGGAACATGACAGACAAGGTCCCTGCCCTCATGGAGCTTAAATTTTATAAGATGGCCCAAATTTGGAAACACAGATAATGTTATTTTATTCATATATTATAATGTAATATTAATAAACCATTTAAAATATATTTTGCCTGTGTTTCCAGACTTGATGGCCAATCTGCAGAGTTCAGTTTATCTGGGAGCTGCCAGTTTACTATAAATCATTCTCCAAGCTTGAAGAACATTTGCTTGATTTTCTTTCTTTCCAGCCTGCTCAGATGATTTAGGTTATATTTTAAAAGGTTTTCAACTTAAATTACAAAATTACCTTTCTTTTCAGTGTTCTGGACCATCAATGGAGCCTACAATTCAAAATTCAGATATTGTCTTTGCAGAAAATCTTAGTCGACATTTTTATGGTATCCAAAGGTAAATTTCTGTCATAGATATATTTAATTTATGGTGAAAACATACATATACATCATGTCTTTTCTGCAATTTCTTAACTTTTATCTTTAAAAACTCTTTTGTAAATGACCAAATTAATGACCAGGTAGATAAAAATTTGACTGAAATATTTTCTCTCAGTTTGAGAAATTTGAATAGTTTCTCTATAAACAACAGTCTTTTGGGTTTTGTGTCCCTTATATCATTGTAGATAGCAGTCCCTTTTATAATGTACATTTAGACCTTTACTTTTTTGGGGGGTGGCGAGTGGTCCTAGAATGTTTTGAGTCAAGAACTAGGGACTTAGGAGCTATGTTACATTACGCAAATCAGTGGTTTGTTTTTTTTTAATTTTTAAAATGATTCTGTATTTCTATTGGTGACTGTCTTATTCTTTGTATGATGAACACTCAATGATTTTTAGACTACAGTACTGTATGTAGCTGGGAGTCAGGAATCTTATCTATTAGGAGTCTCCTGAGTAATTATATTAAATTGAAAAACTCAATAGCAGATACTGTTTGCCATTAAATCTTTTAAAATCCTATTCTAAATGGTGTTTCCAATCTTTGTGATACTGTTTATCCTATTTAACTCTGTATTATTCCTTCTGAATGGATATCAAATATTAGTAATTTAATGTATTTTCTAATGGGCACCTCTCTGATTCCTTAAAATTGTGGGTCCATTAGTTTTTCATAGTTTCGAAAAAAGTAAATCTATACCAGATTTCATCTTTATCAACTACAAATTTTATTCACTTGAGCTGGTATTTAGCTTATGGTGTAAGTAGATTTATGCACTCTTCTTACATTATTGACCTTTTCTGTTGTTTATTTAATGTTACTGAAAAATCATCAAGAATAGTGTAAAACTGTTTCTTGCATTGACTGATCTTCCACCATCTTAGTTCTGTAGATAGAAACTCTTGCTCAAGCTGTATGGTCTAGCATGGTCCCTAGCTAATTCTTCAGATCTTTTACCTGTAACAACTTCAAGATAACTAACTGATAGATAATAGGGGTTATAAAATAAAACTTGTATTAACAGGTTATGTTCTAGCTTCCTTTTCTTTTTAACTTATATCAGAATAACTTATAGTCTTTGGATTAACCAGAGACCTGGCTTCACTGCAACATGAAAACAAGCTTCTGTTTTCCATGCTAATGACATGATTTCACTCTCATAGACTTAGAGCATCCTTAACAAGGAACTGAACTTGTTGGCTAAATAATTTTTGAATGGATACCTCAATATTGTCCTTTTTTTTTATATTCTTTGCATTCTTATGGGTAATACAAATAACTACATTTAGTAAGTAAGATTCTCTGTGGGTTTCATTTTGTATTCTGTTCATTCAGAGGGCCCATTAGGTGGAAGAACAGTTCAAAATTTGGCATTTATATGAGACATACCAAAGTAATTTTTACAACCAAGGTAGTCAGTTGGTAACTTCTACTTTAGAAGTATTACTGTCCTGAGTATTTTTTTCTTTTATCTGCAGCACAGAATGCTCAGATTTTGGGGGAATCTCTGACCCCTGGCAAGAGGTATTGCTAGCTGCATGTTTCTAAAGCTAGAATAGCCATCCATTTAGGCAAAATGAAAGTCTGCATATTTGGTATCTAAAGCACTGGATTTTTGAGTCCAGTGGACAGAACACTCATACTTGAGACAACCACGTTCTCAAATTACTATTTATTCTTTCAACAAATAGTTGATAAGCACCTAATTTGTAAGATGTACTATACTTTATTAAGAATGTTAAGGTGAGTAAGATATTGACCCTTCTTTTCACAAGCTTACAGTCTAGTAGGATAATAATGATGTTTATAGCTATAAATGAGAAAGGAAAATTTAAGTCTTAGTTCTTTTAAGTTTCTTTTAAAATCCTATTTTGAAAGAGTTGAGAGTCCAAGGGATATATATTTTAAGATCTATGCATATATGATTAGACCACCAGAAATAGTCTACAGTAATAATGCTTTCTATAAAAATACCTTGACTGAATTACAATATTTATGTTGCCATTCAAGTGCAGTATTTGTTTTGAGAGTCATACTGATTATTTTGCCAAAAAACTTAAGCTGAATTAAACTCTCACAGAAAACATTTCTTTCCCGAAAGCTGGCCAAAATTGACTTTGTTAGTATGTTACAATCTTTACAAACTTGTTCATCTGAACAGTTCCATTGACATGGCTCCAGATGGTTGAAAAGATATAGATTATCCAATTTTCAAACAAGTGCAAGCCTTTTATTATACTCCAAATTATAGACTTTAATATTTTAATAGTGTTCAACTCCTATCAAGAATAGCTTCGGAAATGACCATTCTGAATACTGTCTGTATTTTCTGTAAAATTTCTGATTAAGATAGTATTTTTAATTTTCTTACATAAGTATCCTTCTTGTATATTTCTCTTTGATTTAGGAAAATTCTATCATATCTCTCAAATTTTATTAGTTAATGATTGCCATGTAATTAATCATAATTTATTTTTTGACTTGACCAAAAAGTTTAGACCTCATTTTAATACTTACATATGGCAATAACTAGGTTACTGAGTTAACCATCATCTTCCTTTTATTTTTATGGCTTTTGATATTATTTTGATATGTGCATCTTTTATTATAGTAACATCAACTTGTTTCTGAACTAGGTGCAGATAATACATAAATATATTAAATTGTTTAAAATGTGAGCAACATAATTCACATTATGTTTAAAATATGAGCAACATAATTGCTCATGTCACGCAGAAAGAGCATTGTGTTCTCTTTGGTTGGGGTACTAGTCCTACATTTTTGTCTCCTTTCCACATTTGAATATCTGTCTTAGTCTTCTAATACATGTAGATGGTCATACCCATATTGGTTCTATATGTTTTATATGCCAATTTATTTTTTGTAATATATGTTTGGGCAGCTTTTAACATTTTATTTGGTTGGATCTTCTGATATTTTCCCTCAGATACAAGTCCTTTTGACTATACTGTGAACTGTCTGGTTTATATAATTTATGCTGTAATTTCTAAGTTTTTGAGCTCTAGGGAAACACAGAAGATGTTTCTACCTTTTTATGTGCTCTAGAGTCAATCAGTACTACTGGCTAGGCAGTAATATTTGTTTGGTTAATATGGTGGTATTTACATGGAATTGTTTTTCCCTAGTTTTGGTTCTAACAGTTTGGACACAGAAGTAACACATAGTGAATACAGTACAGGAAGAAAATTCTCATGGAATTTTCAGAAATTTTAGAATCTTTGAATAGCTTTTCCGTCACTTTCATTGTTGGATTTTGACCTGTAAAAGTCAGTCATAAAGGTTCTCAAAGCTGGTAAAATGAATGGGAGATCAGTATGTGTGGCTGTGTTTTAGTTGCTTTATAAAAGTATTATAGCAGTGCCATGCATATGTTTATGTTTAATAAATAACACTGACATTTCTTTGACTTTTTTCCCCTCAGAGGTGACATTGTGATTGCAAAAAGCCCGAGTGACCCAAAATCAAACATTTGTAAAAGAGTAATTGGTTTGGAAGGAGACAAAATTCTCAGCAATAGTCCATCAGATTTCTTTAAAAGCCATAGTTATGTAAGTAACATTTCAATTATGTTATTCATTGGTATCATTGATTAACATTAACTGAACACACTGACAAATGAAAATAACTTTTATTCATATTTTGAATATAAGTTAAAATGATGCATTCAGTAGAATTTAAGTATATTTGTATCAAAAACAATTTGGCCACTATAATTAATATATTTACTTCCTTTTAAAATGCTATGTAATCATCTCAGTAATAATTGTTGCAGGCAGGATTCACCAATGGATGTCAAAATATCAGGCAGAAGTTTGAGGGAAAATAGTATATTTGCATAGTCTCAAAGTATCTCTCCCAAGGTATTATTAAAAAAGGAAGAATAGTAACTTCATAGAGGAGAAAGCTGGCAGACACCACCTTAACTGAGTGATCAAGGTTAACTTCACCAATAACAAGACATGTCAACCTAATATAGCCCCTGAGTTGAAGCACTGAGAAAGGCCATCACTTTTGTGGTATTTGTGCAAAAAGAAGATTTAACCTCAGTCTAATCATGAGAAAACATCAGACAAACCCTAACTGAGGGTCATTCTGCAACATAACTGATCAATACTCTTCAAAAATGTCAAGGTCTTTAAAAAAAAAAAAGGAAAGACAGGAATTGTCAGAGGTTGGAGGAGACAAAGGACATGTGACAACTAAATGCACTCTGGAATCCTGCCTTAGATGGTTTTACACTGACTTGTTAGTGGAAAATGTAAAATCAAAGTCTAGTTTAGTTTTTAAAAATCCTATTTACATTTTTAGAATAGATATTTCATATACCTTTGGTGTAGTCAACTTGCCAATCCTGTTAGGAAAAAGAGCAAGAGCAGTGGAACGAAGATGAAATGAGCAGGTGTCATGTGGTAGCACCTTTCACTAATCACACAGCTGCTGAGACAGAGCTTGTGGCACAGAGGGGTGGCCTTTTGTTTACTCAGCATATATTCATTTTACTTTAGTTATAACTTAATTTTGTACTTTTATTTAAATTTTGTGTCACTATCAGATTATTAATATAGCTGTTACATCTATTAACTACCTTTATCTTCATCCCCAATGTAAGTATATAATTGAGTTAAATTGTCTTCCTCATTTTAATTTATTTTGACCTGTAATCTGATTGCCCAATTAGTAAGTTTGATCAATAGACTATTGAATAATCAATCTATTATTTATTTAGCATCCATGATAGACTGTAGTTCAGCTGTGCAAATGTTTATTACACTTCTGATATTTATTACTACAGTGCTAAACATCCTAGTAATTGTTCGCTGATGACGATACTAATGATAAAGATAGTGTGGTGTCAGGTAACCTGTTTTTCTATGGCTTGCATCATGGACATTTATCCTTTTAGTTTTTCTAAATGTCAGATATTTACATAATGATTTCACCTTCACATGACTTACAATTTCATGAGGCATTCTAAGTTGCTTCTGAGTTGCTTTATCAACAAGCATATACTTGAGACCAGAAATAGTTTTGTTAAGACAGGAACAGACTCACAGACATAGAGAACAAACTTATGGTTACCAGGGGGTGAAGGGGGTGGGAAGGGATAAATCGGGAATTCGAAATTTGCACCTCTTGGGAGTGATGGAAATGTTACCTATCTTGATTGTGGCAGTCGTTTCATTGGTATATACATATATCAAAATTCATCAAATTGTACATCTGAAATATGTGTAGTTTACTGTGTAAGAATCACACCATAATAAAGGTGTTTAAAAAAAAAGAAATAGTATTGTCAACAGACAGAATAACAAAACACATAAATGATAGTATCTACTCTCTGTACTTAAACAGCACACCGTTGTTTTCTTTTAAAATTATTAGAGGAGAAATATCAGGATGAAAGGATTTAGATAATATCTCTGCTGAGTAATCAGAGAAAATAACCAGAGGACTGTAAGATGTAATTTTTTTTTAATATTCTGTTTAGGGAAAACATTCATCGAATTTTTATGCTTGATGAAAGGATAAACTAGGGGGCACTGCCATTTTGTTTCAGGTCTGTTCCATTCACTTTGGTTGCATGTTTATAAATATGCAAACATAATTGTAACAATATTGGCCAACACTTTTATGTACTTACTCTGTACCAGACACTGTTGAAACTCTTTACAAGGGTTAATTTATTTAATCATTGACAACAACCACCGAGTGAAGGAAGGTAGTAGTAGTATTTGACAGACAGAAAAACTGAACAACAAGGAGGTTAAATAAATAGCCCAATTGCAAACAGTAAGAGAAACAGTTGAAATTCAAACATAGGTAGCCTGGCTCTACCCAGAATTTATATTCTTTAGCATGCCACTACTTTTCCTCCCCAAATACCCTCTACTTATTTATTTCTACTCCCAGTTAATCAAGTTGTGCTTCCTTTAAAATGTATGTATCTTTATAATTTTTAAAATGAAAGACAACTATTTCTGATCAGGGCCAGTATTATATCTGAAAGAGAAGCCAGTGATTTTTGAAGGCTTCCCACCCCCCACCAGTTTTTTTAGGTTGGTTTTTAAGCCATGAGAATTGTATAGCTATTATAGAACCACTTTAGCAAATGTGTTCCATTAATCAAGGTGATTTATAGCAAAAATTCATCCAAGTTTGGAGCACTCTGAAGAGATATCCAAGCTGTTTGCTGAGTCTCCCCCTCCAGAGTGTTCTGTTTTCCAGCTATCTCAGAAGCATACTGGTACTATATTTTATCAAAGAGGTTTCTTCCCCTTGTCTATGCATCCTCTTAGAAAAATCTTTGTTGTTTACAAGGTGAAGACATTACTACTCAAATGTTGATTGAGCTGCATAATAAGGATGATGTATATTAAATGTGTTTTAAATTTCATGGAAAAAAACATTTATTCTCCTAAGTAGGTGCTTTAGAATGTAAAACACTAACCTTGTCATTTGGAACCTTGAATATAGAATTTAGCGTCTGAAAGAAATAGCATTGTTCTTTAGTTGGCATAAAAGAATGTAAACAGATCATTGGTTAAGTGATGTGGAACCATTTTATTCATTCTAGAGTTCTAAAAGTCCATGTGGCACGCAGTACTTACGAACTATGATTTATTTTTTACATTAAGCATTTGGAAACTAAGCAGTCCGTATCAAGGTGCTATTACAGTGGGCTTTGCTTATTTTGATGATATTGATGCCAGTAGTTCTTTCCTTGGGTTATGGACTGAGCATCAACTATGGGGATATGAGCATAATTTGTGACTCTCAAAAGAAACAAATTGTACTCTGCTCGAACATGTTGAATAACTTTCCTTTCTATACTACAGGAATTCCTCAATTTGCTGCTAGAAACCACTAATTTGCCAAAAATAATTTAGTTGGAAGTAGAAGCATTTAGCAAATAGGAAATAGGTTAAATAAACTGGTGTTCTCCTATTGATTTGTGCAGCAGGCAAACTGCGTAAAAAGCCTATTTAATGTAGTCTCCATTTTACTAGGGAACATAGGGCCAGACCCAGAAAATATAGTAAAATTTTGTTATAAAACTGATGAAGAAATGAAGAAAAACACTTTATACTCTTTCTGAGGGTAACACTGTGTGATAGTCCAGGGCTGTGATTTTAATTCATTGTGTAGCTGTGGTATATCAGGCATTTTGAAATACAGTCAGTGCCTATCAGCAAAGAAACAAATTCCTTTGACACCACATCCTTCTGAAGGAGAGTTGTATATACTTACTGACTCCACTCTGAGTCTTATATTCTGTCTTGAACTCTTGCCAGTTAGGCTTTGGTCCCCAGCACTTAGTTGAAACATTTCTTGTTGAGTCCCCAGTGACTTTTCAGTTGCTGACCCAGTGGTCAGCTTTCAGTCCTCATTTTACTTGACCTGTTGTTAGTATTTGGAACAGCTGTCCTGAAAACCTGGTTTCCTTTAGTTTTGGGGATACCACTCTCTCTAGGTTTTCTTCCTGTCTTTCTGCTTCTTCTGAGTATCCTTTATTGGTTCCTCTAAATATTGGGGTAACTAAGGGTTTGTTTGTTAAACTTCTTTTGTTTACGTATATGCACACTTTAGGTGACCTCATCCTATCTGATGGTTTTAAATACTATCTAACTTAACTCCTGAATTTATATCAACCACAACTTCTTCCATGAACTCCAGAGTCATATATCTAATAATTTGCCTAATATCTCCACCTTAGTGTGTAATGATCACCTTGAACTTAGTATGTCCAAAATTAAACTCCTGATTTTCCTTCCCAAACTGACTCCTCTCACATGTTTCCCCATCACGGTAAAGGCAGCTCCATTCTTTTGCTTGCTTAGGTCATAAACCTTCGAATCATCCTTGCCTCTCTTCCTCTTTTACTCTCCCATCCAATCCACTAATAAATTATGAGGACTGTATCTTCTAAATATAAACAGAATAGACCACTTCTTGCCACCATCACTGCTACCTACCAATTTGTTGCAAGACAATTTCATCTCTTGTTTTCTTGCAGTAACTTCTGAATTTCTCTTTCTGCTTATAACTTTCCCATCTTCTTGCCTCCCTACCCCTCCACTGACTACTTTTCACATAGTAGCTGAAATGATCCTTTTTAATAATGATACTTTAAAAAAATAATAATGTTATTCTTCTGCCCAAAGAGCCCAGTGGCTCTCCATCTCATAATAAAAGATGATGGCCTTAAGATGGCTTACAAGACCCTGCATTCTTCTTGCTGCCTGTTCTTGTAACTAAAGTTTTGTTGGGACACAGGGACACTCACTTGTTGGCATACTGTTTGTGGCCACTTTCAATAGAACAGCAGAGTTAAGTCATTGTTACAGAGAGTCTGTAGCCTGCAGAGCTTAGGCTGTTTCCTGTCTGGCCCTTTACAGAAAAAGTTTGCTGACCCTTGCTCTAAAATACAAGGTTCTTGATAGTAAGGATTTGCTTTGATCCCAGCTGATTCCCCAGCACGTAAACTTTTATTTGGCATCTAGTAGGTAGTTTAAAAATACTTGAAAGGTTGACAAATGTATACATGAAT